GGCCCCCCAGCTGCTCTTGGGGATGCCTGGGGCAGAGCAGCTGGGGTGCTGCCTGGTTTGGTCCGGCAGCTCCGGTCCTCGGCGCTACTGGAGTTTTACTGTATATTGTTCTTTACTATAGTTTCAACCAATTTGCCCGATGCAGAAGTGAGACTTACCAGTCTGTAATTGCCAGAGTCACCTTGAGCCCTTTTTAAAAATTGGCGTCACATTAGCTGTCCTCTTGTCACTTGATACAGAAGCTGATTTAAAGGGTAGGTTACAAACCACAAGAACGCTGCAGTTTTACATTTGAGTTCTTTTAGAACTCTTGGGTGAATGCCATCTGGTCCTGGTGACTTTGATTACTGTTTATTAGTTGGTTACAAAACCTCCTCTAATGACACTTCGATCTGAGATAGTTCTTCAGTTTTGTCACCTAAAAAGAAAGGCTCAGGTTTGGGATCCTCTCTCATTCCTTAGCTGCGAAGACCAATACAAGAATTTTAGTTTCACTGCTATAACCTTCCTACACTATTGTCTCATCCACGCTTTGAGACCTTGCAACTCTGCCTGTCTACCTGGCCCTGCACATGGGACTGGAAGCATTTCAGAGAACACTGCCGTTGAGGTCTTGGATTTCATTCTCTCTCTTAGCAGCCTAAACTTGGCTTCCAGACCGCACTCCTATCCTTCTCTGTCATTGGTACCTACATGTACCACTACAACTGACTCCTCCCAGTACTACATATAAGTCTATCTAGATACCTTAGGAGATCCATAGATACCTTAGGAGATCCACAATCTTTGCATCAGGCAGGCAAGTCACCATACAGTTCTCCCGGTCATCACAAACACAGCTATCTTTGTTTCTAATGATTGAATCTCTCATTACTAACAATTGGAGTTCCCTCTCCCAAAGAGGTATCCTCAGTGTGAAAGGATGCCATGACTTCATACGTTTGTGATTAAACATGGTTAGGACATATTGAGATTGGGGGGGAAGTAGCATAGCATTTTAAATTTAGTGGTGTTTTTGGCAGCAGTAAATACTGAAAAATCTAACAAAATAAATTTGTTTTTAGAGAATCAATTTGTCGTTTCTACAATCGCCAAGTAAGAAGCAAGCACCTGGCCATCAAAAAAATGAATGAGATCCAGAAAAATATCGATGGTTGGGAAGGCAAAGACATTGGCCAGTGCTGTAATGAATTCATAATGGAAGGTGTGCTGACAAGGATAGGCGCCAAACATGAACGCCACATATTTCTCTTTGATGGTTTGTTAATCAGCTGTAAAACTAATCATGGACAATCACGACTTCCAGGTTACAGCAATACAGAGTACAGACTTAAGGAAAAAATTATCATGAGGAAAACACAGATCATTGACAAAGATGACACTTGTGAATACAAATATGCTTTTGAGCTAGCATCTAAAGATGAAAATAGTGTAGTGTTTGCTGCTAAGTCTGCTGAAGAGAAGAACAATTGGATGGCAGCTCTGATTTCCCTTCAGTATCGCAGTACACTGGATCGAATGCTTGACTCAGTGTTACTGCAAGAAGAAAATGAACAGCCACTGAGGCTGCCCAGCTCAAACATGTATCGTTTTGTAGTGGAAGACTCTGAGGAAAACATTGTTTTTGAGGACAACCTGCAAAGTAGAAATGGAATCCCGATCATCAAAGGAGGAACTGTAGTGAAACTAATTGAAAGGCTAACGTACCATATGTACGCAGGTATGCTTGATTTTTTTTTTCCTTTTTCAGTATTTGGCACTTTTTGTAGTAACTTTTAAATTCTTAAAGTAATGTTTATATAGCCAGTAATAAAAATCTTTTTGTCTCTTGCTTGCTTTCCTACTAAATAGCTAATTCAAGTCAACGTTTAGGGCAACGAGAGATTGCAGATCTCTCCATCTGACTTCCTATACATCACTGCCACCAGCACCTGCACGTTAAACTCAACAACCAAAATGAGACCGCCACACAGGAGAGATGACTGTTATGTGCCATAGGCAAAGAATAGGAGGGGCCAAGATGCAACAAAAAGTCTCAAAGGGGTAGCCATGTTAGTTTAACTTTAAAAACAAGTAATTCAGTGGCACCTTAGAGACTAACAAAAATATATATAGTATCATGAGCTTTTGTGGGAAAAACCCACTTCATCAGATGAACTGGAGAGGAATAACAGGAACCAGGGAAGATAATGGAGCAAGTAATTAAAGAAATCATCTGTAAACACTTGGAAAGTGGCAAGGTGATAGGGAACAGCCAGCATAAGAACAAATCGTGTCAAACCAATCTGATAGCTTTCTTTGATAGGATAACGAGTCTTGTGGATAAGGGAGAAGTGGTGGATGTGATATACCTAGACTTTAGTAAGGCATTTGATACAGTCTCGCATTATATTCTTATCAATAAACTAGGTAAATACAGCTACACTACTATAAGGTGGGTGCATAACTGGCTGGATAACCGTACTCAGAGAGTAGTTATTTAATGGTTCACAATCCTGCTGGAAAGGCATAACAAGTGGGGTTTGCAGGGGTCTGTTCTGGGGCTGGCTCTGTTCAATGTCTTCGTCAACGATTTAGATATTGGTATAGAAAGTACGCTTATTAAGTTTGCAGATGATACCAAGCGTGGAGGGGTTGCGACTAATCTGGAGGATAGGGTCATAATTCAAAATGACCTGGACAAATTGGAGAAATGGTCTGAGGTAAATAGGATGAAGTTTAATAAAGACAAATGCAAAGTGCTCCACTTAGGAAGGAACAATCAGTTTCATACATACAAAATGGGAAGCGACTGTCTGGGAAGGAGTATGGCAGAAAGTAATTTAGGGGTTATAGTGGACCACAAGTTGAACGAGAGTCAGCAGCAAGACACGAGAAGTCATTCTTCTGCTCTACTCTGCGCTGGTTAGGCCTCAATTGGAGTATTGTGTTCGGTTCTGGGCACCGCAGTTGAAGAAAGATGTGGAGAAATTGGAGAGGGTCCAGAGAAGAGTAACAAGAATGATTCAAGGTCTAGAGAACATGACCTATGAGGGAAGACTGAAGGAATTGGGTTTGTTTAGTTTAGAAGAGAGAAGATTGAGGGGGGATATGATAGCTGTTTTCAGGTATCTAATAGGGTGTCATAAGGAGGAGGGAGAAAACTTGTTCATTTTGGCCTCTGGGGATAGAACAAGAAGCAATGGGCTTAAACTGCAGCAAGGGAGGTTTAGATTGGACATTAGGAAAAAGTTCCTAACTGTCAGGGTGGTCAAACACTGGAATAAATTGCCCCGGAAGGTTGTGGAATTTCCATTTCTGAAGATATTTAAGAGTAGGTTAGATAAACATCTATCACCCATTTTTCCCAGCGCCTGTCTGCTGGGAGTTCATCCTCACCAGGGGAGCAGCCATCATTTTCCCATACTTCTCACTTCTTATATCTCAGGTAAGCAGGAAAGTAGGTTTTTCACTACTCCACTGACTGCAGTTCTCCAGGGGAGACACCAGGAGACAGCAGAGAGGTTTACCCACCCTTCAGCCCTCCCCAGCCTTTGGCTCCAGCTCTGTGGCTTAATAGTCGGCAGGTAACTCCCTCTACTGCAGTGGCCTTCAGCCCCCGTAAGCCGTGGCTCATTGGCTTTGGGAAGTCAGCCAGCAAATCCTTCTGTTTGTCTGCCTTCCTCCTTCCCCCAGGAACTGCTTGCATCATCTTTAAGGGACCTCATATAGTCTCCTAATCTGCCCTTTTTCTGACTGATCCTTTGTCTGTCCTCCTTTCCACCCTAGCCCCGGTGCCTTCTTTTAACTCCAGTTGCAGGAAGCACCAATGAGAAATAATTGTGCTGGCCTCTCCCTTCCAAAGGGCATTTACCCCCCTGTGACAAATATATATTCTTTAGTCATAGTATCATTTGTGTGAGCGCAAAGAGACCCACTGTTAAAATATGGTGGTGTTTCTCTGGCCCACAATAATATTTATCTTTCTGAATAGTCGTTCTTAGAGCGTAGCTGCGGGAGTTGTGGCAGCAAGGACATTCATCACCATAGCTAGTAAACATAGTCCTTGAGCTAGTAGCTGTTGAGTAAATCAAGCCTTACAATATTGTTGTGTTGACCTACTAAGGTGATTATTGTTTTGTTGTGGTCTCTGCATAGTCCAACTTGGGTAATGCATCTTCCAGAGCTAGTTAGCTTCAGGAATCTTGAAGAATAGCAGTGCTCATGAAACTACTCAAACAATCTTTCCCAGCATTGTGTGTGTGTGGACCCACAAGTCCTGTCAGTGGCTAGCTTTGGGAAAAGACCTTCAGAGTTCTTTATTTTAGGTATGTTGAGAAAATTATCTATTAGTTTGTTACAGCTATAGTAGCTTTTTAGGTAGGCTTTGTTCCAGTCTGCACTTCACAATATCACTGACACTGGCTTTAATTCTATAGTCATGGTTATTACCAAGAACTTTCAAAGTGATACTGGTCTCATAGGGTGAAAGAGATATGTCCAGACTTAATTAATATCCTCACTGAGCTGTAAGACATGATAGAACACATTAAAATTTGTATACTCCACTAAATTGGAAGGAATTGGGAATATCCATAAGGGCAACAGTACTCCGGGAATAGTACCACATGCTCAGTGTGTTGGGGGGGGGGGGGGGGGGAACCTGTTAGATGAAAGTGAAGAGTGAAGTAGAGTCAATTTGAGTTTATTGGACCAGCTTCTATTGTTGAAAGAAATAAGCTTTTGCATTTATAGTGAGCACTTTGCAGATCTGAGAGGGAAACTCAATCTTGCATCTAAATACAATGTGAAATGTTGCTTAGCATGAAGAATTAGCATGTGGTGTAAGAGACCATTCAAAGTGAAGTGGGCAGTTAAAGTATACTCTGCAGGCATAGGACAAGGAAGGTTAGTGGATTATAAATTGTAAGCCATAAATCTGGTGTCCTTGTTTTTAGTGTCTAACAGAATTCTGAAAGTCTCATCTTTTGAAAGTGTTGTGCTGGTTTGCCTTTGAGAATGAGGCACTGAGAGGTCAAATGAGTTATTTTGTGAGAAGTGTTCACCTACAAGTTACATAGTGATGGTATATAGATAGATAGTCTTTTATCCTTTTTCTGTGTGAGTTCATTCAAGAACATAGTAATTGTCCTTGGACTAACATGGCTACAACAAGTCTACAAACAAAGTAAATTAGTTGCATTCATAATACAGTGTGGCCACAAAACTTATGCAGTTCTGCGCTATGTACTCAGAGGCATCAGGTCTAAGGGTGTGTCTAAAGTACAGGGTTTTTTTAAAAAAGCCCTTTTTCGAAAAAACTTCACCTGCGTCTAGACTGTAGCTGCATTCTTTCAAAAGTGAAAACACTGCTGCGGTCTTTCGATTTAATCACGGTAAACCTGATTTCATGAGGACTAACGCCTTTTTTCAAAAATACTCTTTTGAAAAAAGGCGCTACTGAATGCAAACTGTGGTGTGGTGTGTGTTTTTTGAAAGAATGTCTAGACTCTCTTTAAAAAAAAAAAGTGGCTTGCTTTTTCAAAAAAAATCTGCTTGTAGTCTAGATGTACCGTAAGTGTTGGGGTACAATATTCTATCTGTAGCTCTGGATGACTGCTCCTAGAGCACTCCTTAAGCACCATATTACTGATGTGGAAAAGATGCAGACACATTCAAAGCCGTTTAGAACAGGAGGGAGGATTCAGGGGGCAACTGAGAGCGCTAAGTTATGCGTTTACCTTGGCCCAGCGATCACCAACAAGGAGCATCAATCTACAGATCTGAAAGGTGTAAACACTAAAGCAGTGCTTTAGGCAAGACTTTGCAGTGCTGAGTGCCTCAGACTGACTTTTTTTTTCTTTTGTAAAAATTTCAGCAAAACAAGTTCAGCTGTTTCTCAGATCACAATTATTAATACGTTTTGTCTTTGTTACAAAACTCTTATGAAAATTTTGTTGAGATGGTCTAGCGCCACCGTGCTATGGAACAGGGATTTTAAATTTGACATTTAAATGAAAATAATATTTCCTAAATTTGAGTGCACAACTTTGCAATTTACTACCTTAATATAGTTTTTATATGTAATGTTTTTAAAAACTAGTAATGAAATTTGATGTAACTGAATCATAGTAAAAAGGTTTTTTGAAGGTAATTCTTAGCATTAAACTTTTAATTGGCATTAATAAGCTTGTTGTTCTCTCTCCTTCTGACCATATTGTTATAGATTCTGTATTTATTTATACATGTAATTGTATAAAATTAATTTGGTTAACTTTCTTGTTTTCCCTTGACAGATCCTAATTTTGTTCGCACTTTTTTGACAACCTACCGCTCCTTTTGTAAACCACAGGAATTGCTGAGCTTGTTGATCGAAAGGTAAATGAATATTCCTTTCAGTTTAGATTACCTGCTGATTTTCTTCTGATGTTTGCAGTGCAATTCAGCAGCATGATTTTGCCTGACTCCATGCCATACATAGGAAAACTTTGTAAAATCCATGAATTGTTTAAAACAATTTTTTTCAAGGGAAAGGGAGTAAAGAAGAGGAAACGAAATTTTAACAAAGGCTTATTTTTTCCAAAATATTAAGTGCCGCTGAAGTTGAATAGATGTTATCAGAAACAATATACCAGTGTTTCTCAAACTGTGATCTCTTTTTAAAGGGATTGTCAAGGCTGATATTAGATTTCCTGGGTCTGAAGCACAAGGAATTCACCCTTGGTGGCAAAGCTCAGGGTTATCAGTCCGGTGCATTGGGCCAGGGGTGGGCAAAAGGGCCTCCGCGGGTCTGATCCACCCCATGGAGGCCCTGCCAGGAACACAAGGCGCTTTGAAGTGCCACGTGCTGCTTGCGGGGCGGGAGGAGACATCACGTGCTCCTCCTCCCCCCAAGCCCTGATTGGCCTGGGGGCGTGGGAACTGGGCGAAGTTTCCTCCCCCCTCCCACCGCCCTGTGCAGAGTGTGCAACACTTCACAGTGCTATACACTTGGGCAGGGCGAAGGAGGCTTTGCACAGTTCCCCAGGCCCTGATTAGCCTAGGGGTGGGAGGATCGTGCAAAGCCTCTTCCTGACCTGCTAGGGGCATGGGTGCCTGTGGAGAGGGCAAAGAGGCTCCTCCATCCTCAGATCAATCATGGTCTGGGGATGGGGAAGCCCAGAAGCAGCCTGGCCCCACCCCTTCTGGCCAAAAATTATTGCCCCACCCCTGCATTGGGCTGAAGTTCTTGGACTTTGTCTTTGATACTTACCCCTCTTCCCAGCCAGGGTGGTAGGGCATGGGATTCATCTTAGAACCTTGCACTCCAGACATGGGACTTGCGCTTTTCCTTTGAGACTTTGCGCCCCTTCTCCGCCTCCTCCCCTTCCCTCCCCTCCCCCTTCCGAGCCAGGGTGGTGGGACTTGGACTGTCTGTTGCCTCCTTCTGGTAGTAATTTTTGTTCTTAGAAGGGGATCGTGGTGCGGTGAACTTTGAGAACCCCTGCGATGTATAAATGACTGTAGGCCATGTGAATACTTGAAAAATACAAATAATTGAAGACTATATACTAGAAAATTACACTGACTTAACTAAATCCATTTAAAATCAGTGTAGCTAAATTGGTAGAAACCCTTACTTTAGATACCCTTAAACAGAGCAAGCCTGGAGGTGTGTGTACATAGCAGCTGTGAGGATGCTTTCCAGCCTGGGTAGACACTTACTACTCTGCTTGAGCCAGCATGCTTAAAATAGCAGTGTGGTTACAGCAGCTCAGGCTGTGGGTCAGCTAGCTAGCCGTCAGTATGTACTCAGGTGGTTCGTATTCAGATGGCCAGCCCATTCATCCAAGGGTTCTAAAAGAACTCAAATGGGAAATTGCTGAGCTATTATCTGTGGTTTGTAACCTATCCTTTAAATCGGCTTCCGTACCTAATGACTGGAAGGCCCACGTGACACCAATATTTAAAAAGGGCTCTAGAGGTGATCCTGGCAATTACAGACCGGTAAGTCTAACTTCAGTACCGGGCAAATTAATTGAAACAATAGTAAGGAATAAAATTGTGAAGCATGTAGAAGAACATAATTTGTTGGACAAAAGTCAACATGGTTTCTGTAAAGGGAAATCGTGTCTTAACTAATCTATTAGAGTTCTTTGAAGGGGTTAACAAACATGCGGACAAGGGGGATCCAGTAGATATAGTATACTTGGATTTTCAGAAAGCCTTTGACAAGGTCCCTCACCAAAGGCTCTTGTGTAAATTACATGGCCATGGGATAAGAGGGAAGGTCCTTTCTTGGATTGCGAACTGGTTAAAAGACAGGAAACAAAGGGTAGGAATAAATGGTAAATTTTCAGATTGGAGAGGGGTAACTAAAAGTATCCCCCAAGGGTCAGTCCTGGGACCAATCCTTTTCAACTTATTCATAAATGATCTGGAGAAAGGGGTAAGCAGTGAGGTGGTAAAGTTTGCAGATGATACAAAACTGTTTAGGATAGTCAAGACAGAAGCAGACTGTGAGGGACTCCAAGAAGATCTCACCAAACTGAGTGATTGGGCAACAAAATGGCAAATGGATCAACCTGAACAAGCACTTGGAGAGAAGATGGTTACTCACCCTCTCATAACTATTGTTCTTTGAGATGTGGTGTTCATGCCCACCTTCCCCTCTGTTGGAGTAGTGACCAAGAGGGAACTAGGGGTGGGAAGGGGGTGAATCGGTAGGGTTCTGTATTGAAGGTGCAACTCCAGGGGGCTTATCCAATGGATGCTGCTAAATAAGATGCCAAAAAAGCAAGACATGTGCTTGTGTCCTTCTCCTCCTTTTGTCTCTTTGCCTTTCTAATAAAAGCTTTTCAGGTTGATGGGCCAATCTATTTGTAGTACAATGATATTCCCATCCTAATCAAGACTTTTGGGCACTACCCTGCTACCAAACAATGATATTAAATTACTATTTTGAACTGTATAGCTCCATACATTGTGCTTGTAAAGGATATGGTTCCTACTGAAAGGAGCTTGTAGTCTAACACAAGGTACAAAACTTCTCAGGTAATACAGAGTACAGAGAAATCAGTAGGGTGACTATAACTTAAAGACAATGAGTAGTCCTGTGACACCTTAGAGACTAACAAATATATATAGTATCATGAGCATTCGTGGGCAGAACCCACTTCTTCATGAAAGCTCATGACACTATATATAAATTTTTGTTACTCTTGAAGGCTCAGTCTACACTGCAGAGCTATTTCGTTAAATAGTTATCCCATGTCGTAAGAGCAAGCCCATTACTTCGAAATATAATGGGCTCGTTGTTCCGACATCCCTGTGAACCTCATTCCACGAGGAGTAAGGGACATTTTGGAATAGTCATTTATTTAGAAATAAATGACTATTATGTAGACAGCACCAAATTATGAAATAAGCTATTTCAAAATAAGATATGCAATTTGTGTAGTTCAAATTGCATATCTTATTTCGACCTATGGTGCAGTGTAGATGCACCCGAAGGTGCCACAAGACTACTTGTTGTTTTTAAAGCTACAGACTAACATGGCTACCCTTCTGAGAGTTTATAACTTAGAGGGATTAATGGATAAAATGGGCTTGTTTGGCAAGAAATCACCAATTAAATGAACGATGCAGCTTGACAAGACCAAAAAGAATAGTAAAGAGAGGGAGGCTAAGAAATTAAGATGAGATGCGGGTTGTATTTTGTAGGACTTTGAAGATAAAGGTCTTTAATGCGATGGCTTGTGTAAGGACATGAATGAGAGGTAATGAGATAATATGTTTTCAAAAGACCATTACTGCATTCCTAAACTGTTCATCAGTGCAGACAATATATGGCTTTTCAAGTAGCCTTGAAATAAATGAGACCTAAATAATGTATTTTAATTATGTTTTTACTTAATTGACTTTATATGAAATGGTTTATTCAGTAATCATCTTTGTGCTTTTCGTAGATTTGATATCCCAGAGCCTGAGCCTACTGAAGCAGATAGGTTGGCAATAGAGAAAGGAGAGCAGCCAATCAGTGCAGATCTGAAAAGATTTCGCAAGGAATATGTCCAGCCAGTACAACTCAGGTTTGGATGTCTTTATGTTTCCTGCATTAGATGCAAGTTTAAAATTAGGGTTAGGGTTCAGTTTCTGTATCCTGTTTCTGAAGAGACTGTTTCCTGTGAAGATTGGAATTAAGTTGTTTGTTTGGCTAGCCTATGGACAATGGTGATCCAAACGACTCATGTCTTTGGGATTTTTTGGTTGTTATATTTGTGTGTCTGCTCCTTGCTGCTCAAAACTGAAAACCCTGCAAAAAGTCTGTTGGTAACTGTGTTAATATGGGTGCAGGTAAGGTAGAGCAATTAAAATTACTCCTCTTATATTGAATGACTCTCTTTATAGACTCTACCCACA